GTCCCGGACGTGTGGCCCGCCGCCGCTCGCGCCAGTGCGGGCGCCCGGTGCGGAGGAAGGCGCAGGTCCCAGGGCCCCGCTCCCCGGCGTGTGCGCGGTCCCCGGCTGCGTATTTGTGCAGAGTCCTCTACGGTCTGCTTGTAGATGATGACGACCGGTTTTTCGTTCCCCACGTAATCCGCGTCGATGGAGACCAATTAGCCGCATAGTCCCTAGCGCTGCTTTGAGAACCTGTTGCAAGCCCCTTTTGGGAGTGACCACACCACGACCAAAGGTCTTAATTTCAGCTTGAGGTTTACAAATTAGAAAGAATGGGGAGCTAAAACTGCAGAGTGGGCATTAATTTGGAGCAAGCCTTTTCCCGTCAACCACAGAGTTTACCCAAATTTGTAAACAGATTTGAACGCGACCTTCAATTCCGTATTTTTTTGTGTGCAGTTAGGTGAGGGGAGTAAAATGAAATGGAGTAATTGTAGAACTAGTCAAGTTGATTCGGAAGCCCTTAGAGCAGGTGGGTTGGGGACCAGCTGCAAAAGGCCAGTTATAGTTACTTTGACAACGACCTCTTCGTCCCTTTTGGACCCTTAAAAATGTTGAACCACTTCTGTTAATTCCTGAAGAAAAAGATTGATGTCTAGGAGAAAAAATGCATTACCTTTGATCAGATTTCCACTCAGTAAATTTTGATCCGCAAACTTTTTCAATTGATTTTGCAGTTAGATTGTTAAAGAAGTATAATTATTTGATCGGAGGTTACCAGTCACGTATCACACTTGCTACATTCATAGGTTTTTTTTTAACCGCGGGCTAAACAGATTTTTTTTTTTTTTTTTTTTTTGCGGGGGTTGTGGGGTACAGGGTTTTGGAGGCTGGCTTTGAACTCACTGTATCACCTAGACTGGCCTCTAACTCTCTGCGATCCTCCTGCCTCAGCCTCTTGAGTGCTGGGGTCACAGGTGTGGCTTAACTAGATTTTTTTTTTTGTTTGACATCAGGACTCGAACTCACAACCTTGTGCTTGCCAGGCAGGCACTGTCCCACTGAGCCATATCCCCAGCCCCTAGATTTTTTTTACACGTTTTCTTTTTTCTTAATCATTTATACCTGAGCTGTCCATTTAATGGCTAAGTTTATCTCTACAAATGAGTATAAACATAAATACACAGTGAAACAGCTAGAATTGAAATGAAAAGGGCATTTCAAACCCACAGAATGAGATTTGTCATTACAGATGAGACCCTAAGATTTGACTAACTTTCCCATTTTATCAATGAGGAGAACTGCATAATTTCATGATTGCCTTGCTTATTGCTACAGGGCATAACAAGTTAACCACTGCTCACGTCTCTAGGTACAAACTGGCAGTGTATACAACAAATGGACAACAATTGTAAACATCGTTGTTTACAACTGTTCTATTCAATGATAAAAACAAACCTTTTTGGGGCTGGGGATTTAGCTCAGTGGCACAGCGCCTGCCTGGCAAGTGCAAGGTCCTGAGTTCAATTCCTGGTACGGGAAGAAAAACAAAAACAAAAGAACATACTTTTTTGTTTTTCCTTGAACAGTATGGAATTAGGATAGATTATTCTGGATTCTTTATCTGGTTCCCCAAATACTACCCCCCCACCATTTCCAAAAGTGTAAGAGGGAAATGGAACACTGAATGCCAGGGCTTTGGGGGGGTTGTTTTGTTTTGTTTTGTTACCAGGAATTGAACTCAGTGAGTAGTGAAAAACATAGTGGCACACACCTGTAATCCCAGCACTCAGGAGGCTGAGGCAGAAGGATCGTTTTGAGTTCAAGACTAGCCTGGGCTGCAAAGTGAGCTCAAGGCCAACCCGAACTGCATAGGGAGACCCTGTCTCAAAAAGACAACAACAGCAAAAAAATACTAAAAAAGAAATGTGAGGCTGGAGGGATGGCTTAGTGGTAGGAGTATATGCTTGGCATACGTGGGACCCAAGGTTTGGTCCCCAGCTTTGGAAGAAAAAAAATTGTTTTTGTCTTTTTGAGACAGGGTTTCACTGTGCAGTTCAGGCTGGCCTCAAACTTGCGTGGATCCTCCTGCCTCAGCCTCCTGAGTGCCAGGATCACAAGCGTGAGCCACCACACCCTGTAAGAAAAATATTTTTAATTTAAGAAAACACAGCTACTGCTGGGAGTGGTGACACATGCATGTAGTCCTAGCACTCAACAGGCCCAGGGAGAAGGATCACTAAGAGTTCAAGGCTAGCCTGAACTATATATAAGGAGACCCTGTCTCAGAAAACCAAAAGGAAAGAAAAAAGGGAGAAAATAAACACAGTTACTCTTTTGAGAGGCTACTATGTATCATTCTGAGCAGATACCTTAGGAAACATTGTATTTATTTGGTAGAAAGATGCTGAGAGAGAAGTGGAAGGAAACATTGTATTTATTTAATAAAAAGATGATGAGGGAGAAGTGGAAGTTTGCCTTAAATTCTCCCTTTCAAAGCTTTGAAGGGACTAAAATGTTTAAAGAGGCCAGAGGTGGGCCCATGCCTGTTAACCCAGAATTTGGGAAGCTGAGGCTGGAGGATCGAAGTGAATTCAAAGCCAGCCTGGCCTACATAGTGAATTCAAGGTCAGCCTGGATTACATAGTAAGACGCTCTCTCAAAAGTAAATAAAAAATAAAAAAATAAAGAGGCAAAAAGAAAGTCAAATCGGTTTCATTTAAACTAGACACTGCATTCGAGTGTCTGTTTCTGACAGTCGGCTCAGTGACACAGTTTTTAAATCCTGTGTGCTTCTCCCAGCCATACGTAGGAAGCTGATTTTGAGGCAGGTAAAATGTCTGTAGTTAACAGCATATCTTTTCAGGATTTGCTCGTAGAAGTTGTTGAAACATCTTGTGGCCCAGTCAGACCTCTTCTGTCCACCAGGGTGCATCTAACTTGTGTACCCACCTGCTGCTGTCACAGACCTACAATTTACTGCAGTTGGTTTCATACTGCCTTTATCCAGGGTCACGAGTGTAAATCCTACGCAGAGCTCGTGTCTGTTTCGCTCACCGTTGTGCTTGGGGCACATTAGGAGTGTCAGTGATAACTGAATGAATGGGTGTTTGGACCAAAGATGCACTTCAGAAATTAATTTCTGAAAAATTAGTCTCATTGTATTTATGCTGTAAAACTCAGCCGCACCATAAATTTACTTCTAGTGGTTACTTCCCTTCATTTGCCACTGAAAGCAGGGCACATACAATGTGTGTAAAAGTGTAGTATGGAATCCTTTCTCTTTCATCCCGCCTCTTAAATCAGCTTACTTAAACCAGCAGAACCCTGACCTCTAAAAATATCCTCTTTCCTATTTAGCACGCCCTGATAATCCTGTGAGCCCCATTCCAGGTGGCTGGGTTAGTCTGATGCTGTCTTGCGCTCACTGTAAGTTTGAGGTCAGCCTGGTTTGTGTTCCCTAGAACACAAACTTGTGTTCCCTAGGCCTTGCTGGAGATCCCCTTTGTCATTTTGCTGGAAGAGAATATTAGCTGACCTTTCAATTTCTGTGTAATTTCACTTAAAGGTGAAGTGTCTGACCTTATTGTTTCCTAATAAGGAAGACTGCTCACTAGTAATGTAGACATACTCTATTCTATACTGTGCCATTCAGTTAACAAAGTTTATCTGTAGTTGGAATGATTTCTTCTCATCTGTGCTTTTCTTCTTTTTAAGATGAATAATAATTATTCTCATAATTGTCCAATTTAAAATACAATGAATGTATATAAACTCTCAGCTTGCAGACAACAGTCTTTTATTTAGTGACTTTTATTTTTTGTACTGGGGATTAAACTCAGGACCTTCACACTGAGCTACATGCCCACCCCTATTTTGATTTTTTTATTTGGAGACAGGTTCTCACTGAATTGCTGAATTGTTCAAACTGAGTTGAAATTTGGAAATACTCCTGCCTCTGCCTCCCAGAGTACTGGGATTACAGGCATCTGGCTCAAATTTAGTGATTGTTTTGTTTTGTTTTGAGACATGGTCAAGCTCTGTAGTCCAGGTTGCCCTTGAACTCACTATGTAAACCGGGCTGACCTCAAACTTACAGTGATCTTCCTGCCTCAGCCTCCTGAGTGCTGGGATCATAGGTGTGCATCACTATACCCCACTTCATTTAGTAATGTTTAAAAGGAAAAGAAATGTGATGAAAAAACCAAAATCATTAAACTTTGAAAATATTTTATAGGAGCTGGATGTGGTGGTGCATGCCTATAGTCCCAGCACTTAGGAAGCTGAGGCAGGAGGATGGCCATGAGTTTGAGGCCAGCCTGAACTACATAGAGAGTTCAAGGCCAGCCTGAACTACATAGTGACATCTTGTCTCAATCAATCAATAAGTATTTATACTTATACTGTGTATACTTTCAGTAAGTGAGAGTATTTTATAGGTGACAGCTCTTCCTTCATTATTGTACTAGTAGTAGGTAACCCATAAGAATTTTACCTGTATGCCATTTGACATACTAATTTTATAAATTCCAGCTACTTTAGAATTTATTATTAGTAAGGAGAGCCTTTCTTTTCATATCCAGTGAGGAGTTTAGCGTGAGTAGTACAATATGTTTATGTGGCTTTAGTCCTTTTTATATCACTGATCTGAAGGTATCAGAATAGGTGACTGCAATATAGCTAATAGAAATCTGGGAGACTTCTTATAAGTGTAATTTTTTTTTTAATAGAGTAAAAG